AAGTGATCCGCTGCTGGTTTTAATTTAGGATGAAAAAAAGCTGAGTCTATTAGCCTAAATATTGCTCTTATGTCCAGTTGCACGAAGTTTGGAATAATATTTTTCAAGCAGAACTACTGCTATTTCAGTAATTACGATGCTAAAAGCAGCCGTTGGGGTGGAGCAAGGATCTCATCGCGGTCTGAGTCCCTCTGGTGTCATTTTCTGTTACATTTGAGAAATTCCTCAATAAAGATGTCAAACAGAGAGAGGGTTTTGTTCCCCCGAGGACAGGCTTGGCCACCCTCCAGGACACAGTCCCAGGCAAGCCATCTCCACAAGAAAATAACCTCTTTTGCTCAAAAGAAAAGAAAAGGTTCAACTGTGAAAACTCTGGCAAGAAAATAACCCTTAAGCCGTCAGCCTCATTGCTCCTAATTAACTCGGAATGCTTCTCAACCTCCGACCGGGTTCATCCCAGCCTGTCCCTCAGGAATCCGCGCTGGTTGAGAGGAATGTTACACCCAGACGAGACTCCTGACCCAGACTTCTGGGGACAGAACAGGAGATGCAAAGCCGCCCACTGTCCCTGATGGGTGAGGGGCTGTGGGTGGGGCCCCGGGAACTGACCGGAGGCGGTCAGGCCTGCAAAAGGCGGTCAGAACCTCCTAGCACTCGGCCTCTCGCAGCCCCCAGCACCCACGGGGGCAGGCTTTCTGCTGGGAGCAGTTACTCCCGAGGCCAAGCAGGCAGGCACACAACCACAGCTGACTGGGGGTGAGCAACAGGAAGTGGTGGGGATGGTAGCAAACAGGAGAGGCCACCCCCACCCAAAGGGGACGCAGCTCCTCCCCCCGCCTCGGCCCCAGGCTCTGGGGGATCCCCCTCTGCCTGTCCTGTGGCTGCAGCCCTCCCCATGGAGTCAGAAGTCCACAGCGGGTCACGTGCACCTGGAACCCCTATCTGCCCTTCTAGACCACATTCTGGGTTCTGGAGACCCCACAATTCCCTGCTCGAATGGCCCACGCCTGTCCGTTCTCTGAGGGACAGATGGCACTTAGGACCAAGCAGTAGCAAAAGGGAAAGGAGGGTTGAGCGTCAGACGGTGTGTCCCAGGCCCCCGTGGGCGGGAGAAAGCCAGGGGCGAGAAGGGGTGGGAGCAGGGTGGGTCACACCTCCACTTTCTGGCACAAACTCCAAGGAGACCAAGAATTCTAAATTCCAGTCTAACCTCTCCAGGCACGAGGTAGGAATACTTGTCAAGGTTGAACAGGCTGAACATATTCTAGTTCTGAAGCCTCGTAATGACTTTTACATATTTAGCCACATGGGATACGAGCCTCCATTGTATTCGTGCCAAAGCCCCATAAGCGCCAGGGGCTGGGGCCTGGCCAAGCAGGAAGAATGCTGGAAATACGGAGTTTTATGTTATATGCCTTGGTGTTTTCAATGTCGGCAAATCATTCAATGATGATGACGATGATAAATGCTGTGGGGATAGAGCCAGGGTGCAGGCGGCTGCGGACTTGGCCGCCAGCCTGCACCTTGGGCACCAACAGAACACCACCCGGCACCTGGGCAGGGCCTCCCAGCTGCACACAGCTCGCCACAGCCACCTCCACAGGTAGCCCGCAGTGACCTGATACAGGGACGACCGACCCACTTCAGTCAGGGGAACCGAAGCCTGGAGGGTTTGAGTAACTGGTCCCAAACCATCAGCTCGAGCGGCGGTGCGGAATGCGAGGCGACACCCTCACGCTGCCAGCCCATTCCGCACAGGCCCTTGTGTCTGCCACTCTTCATCGAGCCTCGTGACCCCAACACTGACCCCTGCACTTCACTCCGACAGCATTTCCCGGATCAGGGAGCTGAGGCTCCGAGAGGTCCTGTGGCCAGTGCGGTTCGGGTCTGTTGGTACCAAGATCTGACTTCTCTAGAGCGGAGTTGTGTCTTGAGAAGGAAAAAGCCCACAGAGTCCGCCGGGAAGGGCCTGCCCTCGGCTGAAAGCAGAGAAGAGAGAGAACCTTTCTGGGCCGCCCTGTGTGCGAGTGAGAGCCGCACGCAGTCCAGTCTGTGCTCGGAGGTGGGTGGGGACTACCCGGTCCTTTAAATTAATCCGTCTCAACAGGAGCCACCGTGAAGATGATGTTGTTGAAACAGAGGCCTGCACAGACTCCACCGCTGGGCTGGAGGCGCTGGTGGACCTGCCTCAGCCAAGAACAAAGATGCAGCCACGCGATCGGCACAGGGAAGAGCGCTGTGGCCAGAGGGCGGGGGCTCAGACACGGCCCGGGTGTGGACGGCGGGCTTGAGCCCCACCAGGTCTGGGAGGCAGGAGACAGCCCACCTCATTCATCTCCCCGAGGGGCGGCGATCCGACGCCCGCTTCACCCGAGTGCCCAGTGCACGCTGCTAGGTGCTCCACACCCACGATCGCGTTCAATCTGCACAGGACCCTGACATCAGGGACTCCGAATCCCACTTCACGGGGGGGAAACTGAGGCACGGGGGAAAGTGACTGGCCAAAGGTCACACAGCTGAGAGCCCGCAGGGCCGGACTGGAGCCCAGAACTGGCAGCCCCCGAGATCCGTCCTCCTGACCAGGGGGTGATCCCGCCCGCTGTGCACAGCCCTGCCAGCTCTGCCTTCGCAGACTAATCAACTACGGAAACGTGCTCTTTCCGTCACCCGAAAAGGGGGCAGACTGGTAAGCTAAGGGCTTACGCTTTGGGGGGGACTCAATAGATAACACTTGGACGGTAATTAACTCGGCATCTGGCACAATAAATGCTGTACAGCCCGTTCTTTACAATCTAATCAAAGGCTCTGCGCACTTCCGCAGCCCCACCTCCCAGGCTCCTGCCACCCACCCTGAGCCTGGCCTCAGAGCCACCCACCGCTTGCTACATGGGCTGTGCCCTCGGCCCAGCAAGCTGCTCCCCAGCCTCTGGAGACCCTGCTCAAGGCAGCCTTCTCCGTAAAGCACCCCACCCCCCCAAGGAGTCAGCCCTCCTTCCACCCCCACCCTCGCAGGGTAGCTCTTGCCAGGCCCCTCTGGGCTTCAGCAGCCTGCCGTCCAGACGTCCGTTTCAGAGCTCATTGTGGGTGTAATTACATGTTCACAGATCTGTTTCCCATAACAAGCCCATCCGAGATCCAACAGGCATTAAACAAAAACAGGCAGGGAACCCAAGGTGAATACACCACGAAGAGGAGAGGCCCAGAGCACGTGGGACGTCACGCCCCGTGCCACCCACCAGCTGGCATGGGGCAGGGGCGCCGAGTGCTTCAGGAAGCGCTGCAGCGAAAGCCATAAAGAATCCAAAGGATCCTCTCACCCAGCAGTTCCACTTCCGGGAAGAACTGCTAAGGCAACAATTAGGAAAACGAGGGGGGAGGTTTATGCCCAGAATCACTGCTCGATTCTCATGGTTAAAAACAGACAAGGTAAGCAAACAACCTAAATGTCCACCCACCAAAGGGTGGCTGGTCGCCTAGAGCAGCAGTGGCCACTGGTGGTCCGTGAGGTCCGAAAGGGTGGCCGCTGACCTAGAGTGATACTCATGCCTGCCTGTTGACTATTGCACCTACTAAGCGCCGGCCACTTCACCCTCACACCTGGTGAAGCAGGCAGCATGACTGCGCCTGTTTACAGCGGGGAAGCCCGAGGCTCGGAGGCCAGGGTGACAGTAACAGCCACTGAGTGTGGAGAGCCTGTGTCGGGCACGCACGCTTCTCAGCTGCCTGACATGATCTCAGTTACTGAGGCTCTTCACAGCCCCCCTTCGCCAAGGAGGGACTGAGGCCCAGGGACATCAATAACTATTCACAAAAATACAAGTTTTAGGATTGTTCCAAAAAAAAACCCCAAAACTATTCAGAGCCACACTCCTGCCACATCCATGGTTTTAACCCTGGGCTCCAGCCCCCTGGTCTAGGGTCACTCAGCAGAGGGTAGCAGACAGGTGCTTAGGGGACCGTGTGATCTACAAGCAAAGGAACACCTGAGGCTACTAGAAGCTGGGAGAGAAGCCCAGAACAGATTCTCCCTCGAAGCCCTGGGAGGAACCAACGCTGCTGACACCTTCTCTTCAGACCTCTGGCCTCCAGACTGGGAGAGAAGAAACTTCTGCTGTTTAAGCCCCTCAGTGTGTTACTTTGTTACAGCAGCCTCCGTTATTCGTGGCTTATCAGACTATGAGGCAACTGGAAAAATGGCAATAACAGGGGGGCCAGGTAAACATATGTTCAAGGGAAAGTCAAGGGACAAAACCATGTTGACCACTGATTACTATGGTGAAATCACACCTGGGAGCAGGGAGGAGACCGAGAGGAAATACACTAGCGCAACTAAGGCGCGTCCTAATTTTTTGTCCCTGTTCTACGTTTCCAATCTTACCCAGCAAGCTGCCAAATCTTACCCAGCAAGCTGGCCATCTACTGTGATACATTTGATACAACTGGCTCACAATATACAACTGAACCATGAGACTCTGCAGGTATAGCAGAATCCTTGCTATGGGGTGAATTGCACCCCCCTCCCCCCCCCAGATCTCCAGTACCTCTTCCGTTGAAGCCCTAATCTCCAATACCTCGGCACGTGACTGTGTTTAAGCCAGGGCCTTTTCAGGGGCAATTAAATTGAAAATCGGTTAGGATGGGCCCTGCTCCAATAAGACTGGAGTCCTCATAAGAAGAGGAGATTAGGACAGAGAAAGACACCCAGTACACGGATGCACGAATGACCATGTGGACACCCAGTAGGGAGGTGGCCATCTGAGAGGCCTCAGAAAAAAACCAAAAGAGCCAAACTTTGACTTGAGACTTCCAGCCTCGAGAACGGTGAGAAAAGAACTTCCTGTTGCGTAAGCTCCCCAGTGTGTGCTATTCTATTATGGCGGCCCCGGTAAACTTAACACAAAGAACGGAAGGAGAGCCAGCCTTCCCACAGCGCCCCACGGGGCAGCCAGAGCGGAGGCACAGGCAGGGCACCCAGCAGGCAGGGCGGGCCCAGCACTCACCCAGGCAGTTGTGTCCGTCGTGCGCCAGCATGAAGCCGTCGAAGCAGGTGCACCTGTAGTTCCCCGGGATGTTGATGCACTCGTGCACACAGCCCCCGTTGTAGGAGTCGATCTCACACTCGTCGATGTCTGCAAAGTGAGGGGCACGAGAGGGGTCAGAGGAAGAGCCTGGGGTCCCCTCTCCCTGCACTGCTGAAGGCACCTGGGCATGACTGGCTAGGGGACGGCTCAACAGGCATTCACTAGAACTCTTGCTGGGGGCTGGGACCCAAAGGTGACAAAGGGCAAGATCCTGGCTCTGTCCCAAGGCTGACCACACCTTGCAGAGCTGGCAAGAGCCACACCCAGCTCAGCCTCCTTCGAAAGCCTGTCCACAATCACAGCCTGTAGGGACCCTGTGTATCCCCCAAAACTGGATCTCTTCGCCCCTTTGAGAGCCTCCCATGAAACAGGGAGAATCAAATCAAAGGAACGTCGCATACCACCAAAAAGTGGAACCCCTGGAATGACAGCAAGTCGGCACACTCCCTCCAAATAGTTTCCTTTCACATCAGCATCTGCATTCTGAACCTCTACTGCCCCAGTGTCCTCGTTAGAACAAAGGCTCTGTCTCACAAACAATGGCCAATAGCCTTTGTAAAGGTCACCCTTTTTGCCGTTTTAAGTCTTTTTTTTAAACATTTCCCGTCAGGGTTCAAGGGGCTATCAGTTCTGGCGTTCCAGAGAGATTTGAGAGACTCGGAGAGTAACAGGAACGCCCAGTTCACATTCAACCAGCTGACAACACCATACACCGTATCCTCAATTCTTTCAGTCCCACAGGGACTCAGTGACGCAGGCCGTCACTATTCCAATTTCGCGAGGGCAGCGGAGAAACGGAGGCACAGGGGGCCAACACCTGGCCAAGGCCACACACTTACGAAGTAGGACACGTGGGGCTTCGAGCCAGTGCGGCCTCGGCCGTATCTCAACCTCGGGAAGCGAGAGAAGCCGGGAAGGGGCAGGCGGAAGTGCCCTCACAGCGGAACCGGAAATACGACACAGAGGACCGGAAGTGCCCCAGCTAAGCAAGACCGGAAGTGCCTCGGAAGTGGTTACAACCTGGGAAGAATCGGTCCGTCTTGTAGGCAGTTGAAGAGGATTTTTGAGGTGGGTTCAGCTGTGGAAGCTGGGGTGGGCGGGCCTGGGGAAGAGGGGGACTAAGTAAAGGCAAGCCTCGCCCTCCTTCAATGCCTGAGAGCTCGTGCTCCCCCCCTTTGTCGCGAAACCGGGCCCCCATTATGTAAAGGTAGCCGGGGGGGGGGGGCGGGGGGGGAGCCGGGTAGGGGTGGGGGGGCAATTAGCGTTCAGAGGGAGGCATGTCCATCGGGACGATAGAGGCGGTCTCAGGCGGGCGTGAGCTCTCTGACCCCAGAGAGGACCAGGCACGGGACACCTGCCATCCCGGGAACACCGGAAGGGGCTCCCTTCGGTGAAAACAGCATGGAGGCTCCTGAATCCAGGGCCTGGGCTGCGCAGCCTGCTCCGGTGCCCCACACAGCCGCCCGGAGGGGAAGACAGACTCGCCTGGGTCTCCGGAACCGCAGGAGACTTTTTCCCAACCTGCCTGCAGTGGCCCTCAGCATCAGCCGGGAAGCAGGCTTAGTTCTGCAGGCCATGTGAATTGTTTGCAATCATATATTTCATGCACTGAGACATTTTTAAATAACATTAAAGGAGGATATAAGGTTTTATGTTTGAAAAGGCACCTGGGTTTATGAAGACTGAGATATTAATGACCTCCCAGTCTCGGCAGCCCTGACCTTTCACCAGGTGGGCTTCACCCAGGTACACAGACCACTTCTCCCCGTGGATCCTCCACAGACACTCCAAAGGCAGTGCGGTCCCACCCTAACTCATTGGCCGGCACTTTCCTGGGATGCCCCATCCAGTGAATAGCCGTCCACTTCTCTGCGGACATCGAATCGACTCCCAAAGCAGGGCTTTCCTACACTGTTAACATGGTGACAGTCTGCCCACTGGTCACCCATTCCCACTACTATCTGATCGGAACCAGCACCCCCCAAACTGTTCCCTCCTTTCCTTCATTCAAGAAGGTGACTCTGTAGAAGGTGGCCTGGCCCCAGCTCTGAGAGTGGAATCTGATCCATCGAACCCAAACAGTGTGTGGCTTTACTGGGTGGGCACAGGACTTAGGTTGGATGAGTCAGGCTGAAGGAAAGGACTTTTATTTCGCACTTGGGTAAAAGAATTCCCCTCCCTTCCTCCCTCCCTCCCTCCCTCGTTGGACCTCAGAAGGAAGTATGCAGGCATCTACCCCTGAAACGTGCCAGCCCACTTAGCAGCCCTCTGGAGTCGGCATTTTAACTCCATGTTATGGCTGAGCAAACTGAAGTGCACAGAGATTAGGTGATTACTTCAGGTCATGCAGAAGTGGTAGGACAAGGGTCAGAACAAAGGTCTTTCAGTCTACAAAGCCCGTGTCCTTCCTAATAGGTCAGAATGCCCATGGAATGCCAGGCTTTGGCAAAGTATTTAATCCTTGGCACATTTACACTGTGTACCAAGAAAGTATTATCCAATCATCCAAACACCCACTCATCCATTCATCCTTATACTGCCACACACACACACACACACACACACACACACACACACACCTATCCGTCTCCTACCCAAATGGCCAGCCAGCTGTCCACCTATCCATTATCCATCCATATAATAACTGTATTGGCTACCCATTCAAATATCCACCCAGCCATCCTTCCATTTGTCTATTCATGCAAAATTTATCCATCTAAATATCCAGCCAGCTGACCATCCTTCTATTCATCCAATCACCTATTATTCACCCACTCATTTATCCAGCCAAACATCCACCCATATAACTAAACATGCATCCACCATCGAAACATTCAGCCAGACACCTGTCCTTCTATTCATCTAAACATTCATCCATCCAAACCTCCATTCATTCATCCATCCATCCATCCATCCATCCATCCACATAGCTAACCACCTATCCATCAACTCATTGATCCAAACACCCATCTATCCAAACACACACACACACACACACATCCAAACCCCTACCCACTCATCTATCCAGTCAAAAAGTCACTCATCCATCCAAACACTATTCATCCACCCATCAATTCCTTCCAACATCACCCATCTAAACTGCATATAAAATATATACAATAAAATGTTCAAAAAAATAAGAAGAAAAAAATAGGGGTTGAAGAATAAAAGAAAGCTGGTGAAAGTATGCAGAAATACATTCAGTAATCCCAGCACAATTTCAAAAGGCAGGCCACAGATACGGCTCTGAGCTTCCTAGAAGCCAAAGCAAAGAAAGAAACACAATCAGTTTCAGAGTCACCACATCCATCAAGTGCGCTAAGACCAGCTATTTTAATGGTGGTAAAACCTGAGAAAAATGTTTCTTCCTCTGATGACAGTAATCATACACCCCACGCTGCCTGGCATAGTTCCAGTGTTTGCCGGTTGTCTGGGTGTCATTATTAACAGCATACTTTTCACTATCAAAATGACACACTATTTGATCACCATACCCATAGGGCATAGTAAAGAGATCGCTGAGAAGTCAGTAAAACAACGCTAGCCTGTTCCTTCCCTTGACTCCCCACAGTGGAGGCCACAGCCGATACTAATGGGCTGAAGAGTGCAGGAAAGCTCGATGCTCCCATCTCTTACCATGATCCATCCCCCTGGAGTTCCCCTTCCATCCGAGGATCTCTTAAAGCGGCCAGTTCCTTTCCGGTCCCCAGGCCTGAGTCTTCTCCAGGCTTCTGAGGCCAGCCTGCTTTACCCCAGCATCCTGGGCAGAGACTATACGCTCACAAATGAGCCCCGCCCCCCTTATTTTCTGTGTCTGTGCCTTGCATTTTTGTTTTTTAAGATCATGTGAGCCTCCTCCTTGAATTCATATGAGATAAACACACAAACAAGTCAACTGCACAAGGTCTCTGCCAAAGCAAGTGGGTTTATTACTGTGATAAACATCCAAGGCCGCCAGCCCTGGAGGAGGCCCTGCAGACCTCCCAGGTGCTCTCAGGTTCAGACCAGGTTGTGAGAACCGTTAGAGCCAGGCAATGAGGAAGAAGATGGGGTGGGAGAGGATGAAGTAATAGAGGGGGGCAGAGCCAAGTTCTCTGGGTGTTTATTCTTTTCTTTAAAATCCTCATCTGAGGATATTTTCCCATTGACTTTTAGGGAAAGTGGAAGGGAAGGGAGAGAAAGAAACATCATGTGAGAGAGACACATGGATTGGTTGCCTCCCACACGGCTTGGGGTTGGAGCCTGCCACCGAGGTACAGACCCTTGACTGGGACTCGAACCCGGCACCCTTCGGTCTGTGGGCCAATGCTCTAACCAATGAGAAACCGCCTAGGGCTGGATGTTTATTCCTAACGGACTGTTGTGGGTTGAACTGTGTCACCCCAAAAAAGCTGTGTTGATGTCCTAACCTCTGCTATCAGTGAATGTGTCCTGATTTGGAAATGGAATCTTCGTGGATGTAATTAAGAGGAGATCATATTGGAGTCGGGTGGGCTCTAATCCGACGACTGGTGTCCTTGTAAGAGGAGGGAAATTTGGGTACAGACACAGAGAGGAGGTTGGGACAGGGGAGGACGCCGTGGGAAATCACACAGACACACAGGGAAGAGGGCCATGTGACAACCGAGGCAGAGACGGGAGTGGGGAAGCCACGTGGGAAGCCGGTGTGAGCGCTGCCCCCGTTTTCCTGACGCAGAGACTGAGGCACAGCGTGGCTGAGGCCCTCGCCTCCAGCCCTGAGCCGGTGGCTGTGCTCAGGTGCAGGTGCTATACTTGGTGGAGCCCCGTCCTCGGGTGCACGGGATGCAAACTTCTTAAAAATGCTCCAGGGCTCCAAAGAGTTGCTAAGGTGGGAGGAGATGTCACTCATTGTCCTCGAGGTGAGGGCTGGTGACAGGGATGGTCCTACAAGGGAAGGCGGGGAGGACACACCGTCTGAATCTGACGTGTGCTGAGGGCAGGAGTCCCACAGATCGCCCGGACGTCCCTGCCCTCTCTCCAGCTGGGGTTTTTTTTTTTTTAAATGAAAATGCAATTCCCAACAGAAA